CTAGGAATCATTCATTTTCTGTGAGATTCATTCCCCTCACCCTCGAATGAGCAAATTTTTATAGATAGATTTTGTTTACTCGAGTACCGGGTTTGTAAAAAAAAAAAAAAATAAAAAAAAAATCTTGAGAATTTTTATTGAAAAATCTTAAAATGAATTAAGAGCAATTGAACCTGTAAATATTTATAGATTGTATTTGTTTTTAATTTGATACGTCTAAATTTCATTAAAGATCTCGAGAAATATTAGTCAGAAATCGATCAGTGGTCGTCGGGTAGCATATGGACTGCATATAAAATTAACGTTCCCGTTAGCGTAGTTTTCAGACTTCGGACTGTCCAGTGCGCGAGCTGGCCACCCAGTTTATCTTTTCATTTAAAAGGGCTTTCATTTTTTTAAAATTGTTTTATTCATTGGTGTATCTAATTATTATTCATGAAATTGTTAAAAAGTTTAATGATCCTTTCCGAATAAAAGTTTCGCCAACTGGGTAATGGGAATGGCCAGTTTGCAGATGATGGGGCAAAAATGTTCTAAGTTCACGAACTAGACATATTGGACAATTTTGCCAAAGGAACGTAACAGCTAAGATCGAAAATGTCTTGTGAGGAGAGGGGCGAGGGAGCAGAGGTAAATAAATTCCTGAAAATAAGAAAAAATTAAGTTTTTTTGGATGAATTTCGAGTGGTGGGGTGGAGGGGGGTTCCATATCTTTTGGAACTCCTCCCACGAGAATCGGATCAGGGAGAAATCCTCAGCTCCTTAACTACCTACAATGAAGGTGTATTTTTGCAGTCAGTTCTATAAAATTTCTTACACAGCGTTGCCAATATGTGTGTTATTATTCCACGATTTCACACAGTTTCAATGGAGAAAACTTGAATAATTTGCCTTAGAAGCATCGCTATCGTGACGATCCATCGAGAGACCTTTCGGTCCACTGATGACGTAAAAGCCGGCCAATAAATTCTCTCTCATGAATCAGAAATTGAACCACGCACGCAGACGCATTAATAAATCTTCGAAATGAATCTGACTGATTACTCGATCCACCGCTGCCAAATTTTCTTGAAAATTTACGATTCAGAAAATTTAAGCCAAAGCCCATTCATATAGTATTATTGTCTTTCTTATTCGGTAAGGTTATCCTCCTTTATGATCTTTTAATTTTAGATATTCTGATAATTTTTCAGCTCTCATAGTTGGCCATTAATTCCTCAAACAGTTCTACTTCCGCACTTGAAACTTTGAAGCTGAATAATGTAAGCTTTTAGCAACTCAGGTGAATATGGATCGGAGGATTTACTCACCCGAGAAAATATAGAATTGTCGCTCTCACAATGCTTGTATGCAATGGATTTTAAGTCCAACCTACTTTTCTGGTCGTAGCTACGATGTTAATTGTATGGTAACAATTATTTCGTTTCCAAAAATAATGTATTGTTGTTGTCGGGAGACCGGAGCATAATTCTAGAGACTGAACCATTTATTATCATAAAAGTTACATTGTAAGCACGACCATTTAGAAAGGTAGGACCTGGAATCCATTGGCAGTATTTTTTAGTGCAACGCTGATTAATGAAGGAGAACCTAGACGCAGCAACATAAAAAGGATAATTTTTGCAAACCTCGATTGAATTTCAGCAGTATTATTTTGTAGATGGGCTTTTGAAAGGGATTCCAAGGGATTACATTTGAGATAGGTTTGAACGTACCATTAAAGTTTTCAAAAGCATCGACTTATTCTCCCGTCTTTTGTGCTTTTTGCAGCGCAAAATCATGTAATACCTCGCAAGGACCCATTCCTGAAGTTTTACCGCTAATTTTTACTCGGGATATGGCAAACATTGTCCTTTTCATGGTGCTACATTGAAGGATTGCCTAAACCTCCCCTGATGACAATGTAAACCATACAGACGGTGAAACTACCAGACCACGTATCTCGGTTTGCGACGTTGCAGACTTCCTGTCGTACTTAGTTTCTTAGATGGAAAACTGCTCAACGTCAAATATTGAAAACCTGCGTAATTTTCTTCTCTGTGCGTAGAAAACTCTGTGAAAAATTGAAGGAATAATACTGATCCGTTCTCCTCCAAAAAAATAAAATGGGAGTGGAGATTTTTAAACACCGCAAATGAGATACGTGGTCTAGTGGTTCCGATATGGGCCCTCCTTTGGGAAGGGGCTGTTTAAGGAAGGACTACACCGAAAAAAAGTGAAGTTGATTTAACATCCTGGATGTAAAAAAAGTGTGCGCGAACTCATACAATGCTGAATTACCCGCTACGGCAGTTAGTTTTACATCTTGACATTGCTAAAGTAACTGCTAGTTAATTCAGCATTTTGTAAGTTTTCGCACACTCTTTTTACATCCAGATTGTTAAATCAACTTCTTCTTTTTTTCAGTGTATGAAAACAGGCCTAAAGGAGAGCTTCTGGTGAAAATTCGCTTGTGATATACGCACTGAAAAAAAATTCTCGACGTTTTTACCAAGATCCGTTGGTACTTTTACCATCTCACTTTTTTTACAAATTATTGGTAATTTTACCGAGACAGACTGGCAAGATTACCTGAAAACCGGTATTTGTACTGGTTTTTTTCAGGCAAGAATACCACTTTTATTGATAATCCGTTCCCGGTAACTTTGCCATTTTATCTCGGTAATTCTACCGCAGTCGATGAAAATATTGGCGTTTTTAACGGGGTCTAGTAAAATTACCGAGGAAGCCGATAATTTTACCGAGATTTCTCGGTAAAATTACCAATTCCATAAATGGTAATTTTACCAAGAAAAATTGAGATCAAATAGAACCCTGAATTCTTGGTAATTTTACCCTTTTCTTAGTAAATACACCGATAATTTTTTTTTCAGTGTAGTTAATTCAGCATTTTGTAAGTTTTTACACTCTTTTTACATCCAGATTGTTGAATCAACTTCTTCTTTTTTTCAGTGTATGGAAACAGGCCTAAAGGAGAGCCTCTGGTGAAAATTCGCTTGTGGTATACGATGCGGCATCGTTGTATTCAAAGCGCGGGGCTCGGGGTCGATGACCCGGGTAGCGGAGGACTGGAAAGGCGCCTCAGCCTCGGCCGGAGCTCCGGAGCACGAGAGGAAGGGACCTTTTCCCCTTACTGACCCACATCCGCCTGCGCCGCCGGTTTTCCGGAAACGAGCTCTGCCCCGGAGTCGAACTCGGACCACCGCCGTTTTCGATTCCGAAATCTCGGCGACCGCTCTTGCCTTTGAACCAGTTTCGGTCCACCAGCTTCGGTCGACCAGTTCGAATTAAATCGCTCCGTGTTCCTCGCTTTATGACCACGATATCGGAGCATTTAATTGACCGGGTCATAGGCTCGCTCTGGATGAGCCCGTGACTAGTATGCTGCCGTGCTAAGGAAGAACGCCGCATGAACATTCGACAGTTGCCAAATCTCTCCGAATAAAACATGTATTTTTGAAGAAAGTTGTGCATATTTTTCCTTGAAATTTTCAGATATTTTAGAATAAATTGCAAACAAAATTGTCTGAAAAATTGGAAGGAAAATATTCATAAGTTTACCAGGAAACTCGTGTTTTATAAAAGGAAATTTGGCAACGCCCGAAGGCTCATACGGCGTTCTTCCTTGGCACGGCAGTATGTCACATTGGCTCGTGAGCCTCATACTCGACACGTTGATCATAGATCATGGGGCTCATCAATTGATGTTGCTTCGGCCAGTTTCCCGACAGTCATCTGATATGAGTCTCGGATTCAAAAACCAGACGGAGGGATGCCCACCTCGTGCACGTGTAGTATATCAAACTGTAATGTTAGGTATTTTTATGTTGGTAATTTTTTAGATTTTTTTAAAACTATTTGACAAACTCATTTAATGTTCCCGTCTGTTTAAAATTGATAAGTTGAAGGGAAACTGTGTCAGTGTGTGTTCTCTAACTTCCTGGTATGAAGCGGTAGATTCAAACAGGAGCAGGTTTCATCCAGAGTAGCCTTAACGGATGATAGCTTTTATTGTGTTGAGTCAAGAACAGTAACATCAATTTTGAGGTTTATATGAATATTATATATATTGATAACAGTCACCGAAAGTTTAAAACTCTTCAAGCAATTAAATTTAAAAATTTAAGATTTCCTGGTCCCCGAGGTAAATAGCCTGGTTGCTGATCGTCGTAAATTAAAATAACTAACTAACTATTTAGTTTAGGAAATGCGAAATTTACACCTGAAAATGTATAATTATAATCCGAGCTATAATCGCAATTGCGGCGCCTCGTGATTTCCGTCAATGCAGATTTTGACCTAAGAACTGTGCTGCTGCGCTTAGGAAAAACGCCGTATGAATTAACACCCGAGAGTTGCCAAATTTCCTCCAACAAATTGTTTATTTTTGAGGAGTATTATGAAAATTATCCCTTGAAATTTTCAGATAATTTAGATCTGATTGTGAATAAAATTCTCCGAAAAATTGGAGGAAAAATATTCACAGATTTACCCGAAAATTTTTATTTTATCAAAGTAAATTTGGCAACGTCTAACGGCTCATATGGAGTTCTTCCTTTTAGCTCAGAAAAGGGGGGGGGTCTCCCCCATTTCCCTTTTAATCGCGTGACTTTGAAAACCCTCAGCTGTTCCACAAAAGGTCTGATTCTTGAACACTGATCAGAAGCTAGGATTTAATCGAAGTAATTTTCTGGTGGATGGTTTTGGGATGCCTGTCAAGGGTCCTGAAATCCCTGTAACTTCATTTTCCTTAAACTTCCAAATTTTCATTTAAATTCTAACTAGTCATTAGGGATGGCTGAATTCTGTTCATTTTTCATCTTTTCAGTCCTTTATCATCCAGCCATCACCCATAAAATGAATGACTAGACTTGCAAAGTTGCAACTGATAGCTCCACTGATTATAGCCAGCCAATAGCGTATAGACTTGAAGTCTCACCACCCGTGACGTCATCAAGTCTACAAAAGCGTGTGCTGCCCGTTATTCTTGGTCTATTCCATCTTTGACTCGTATGAGCTCCACTTAACGCATATTCGGCCCTTCAGGCGCAGTGTGACGAATCTCTTGTAAAACTTGTACTTCTCATTCAAAATTTTAATGTAAACTTTTCGGCTTCTCAAAATTAGTTCTTCTCCTTTAGCTCTCTCACAATCTCTCACAATCATTAGATGTGTTCAGCCCCCCTCCCTCCCTTCATCCTGTAAATCTCGCACAATCGCAGCTAGGATCTAGATCCAAGATGCGGATGGGAGATGGACCAATCACAACAGGGACTCGGAAACCGCGCAATTCGTCATTACATCCCTCCTCAACACAAACTCGCCGATGGGAGCGTTTTGTGAGACGAGGCCTTACGGGGTCGAGGTGAAACGTTGCTCAGTTGTCAAGGTGGCAATATTTTTACTCTGGAGGCAAGGTGGAGTGGTTCACGGTGTCATGGACGCGCACTTGTCTCGTAGGATCAGTTTGAATACCTGAAGATGGATCGCAGATAAAATCTACGCCAACGACAGCTTTCGATAATCAAAAAGGTTTATTTCTTTAAATGGAGGTAAATTGAAAATATACTTTATTTTCATTACACTAGCCCAGATCGATATAATTGAGACCTGCCCTAACGATAAAACATGGCCCGGCCCAGGCCTGTCGCGTCGCGAGGGTAAATTGTCCTCCACACAATTAGAAAATTTGATCCCCCCCCCCTCTCCCGGTCAATTTACGAAGGGGATATGGAAAAGTAAGGGAGATATAGGTATACTAGCGAAGAGCCCTTGACTACTGAAATTTACAGGGGCAATAGACTGGGATTGTTTCGCTTGACATTATTCGATCGCAAAATAAAAAAGAACCCGTTTTTTTCTGTATGCTTATACTATTTCGATCGAATTGACGATGTTGATCGGTTCGTGTTCACCTATTTCGATCGATTCTTGTCGATCGCTAATTCTTTTTAATTCTATTTTCATTTTATTTTTTTTCTCTCTCCTAATTCGTGTTCTTCTTCCTCTTTTCTTCTTGTCCTTCTCCGTCTTCTTTCTCTTAACTTCTTCCTTTTTCTCCTCTTTTACTTCTTCCTGTGTTCTTCTTCCTTATCTTATCTATTTTTTCTTTTTCTTCCTCTTTTGAAATTTTCTTCCCCTTTTTTCTCCTTCTTTATTCTCTTTCATTCTTCTTTTTGCTTTGTTCTTCAGCTTCCTCTTCCTCCTTTATTCTCTATTATTCTGCTTCTCTCTCTTATCTTCTGCTCCCCTATTTTCTCCTTTTTTCCTCATCCTTCCTCTTCCCTCTTCTTCCGCTTCCTCTTTTTCCCATCTTCTCAGTCTCTTTTGTCCTTCCTCTTTTCTTGAAGTAAGTCTGCTGAAATCTAAATCTTTCATCTTCATTCCTCATTACCTCTCTTCATCATCTTCTTTCTCTTCTTTCAATTCTCATTCTTTTCTTCCTCTAATTTTCTAATTTTTCTACTTTTCTTCTCCATGATACGACGATAACTCCAATATTTTTCTTCTTTCTCATTTCTTCTATCAGCTTTCACCTTCCTCTCTTTTATCTTCATTTTCCTCCTCATTTCTGCATTCTTTTTTCTTATATTTTCCTATCTATTTTCTTCACCTTCTTCGACCAAATTATTTGTTTCTCTTTTCATTCTCCAAATTTTCCTCTTCTCATCTCTCTTTCCTTCCTCGTCTTCCTTCTTCTTTCTTCATCATCCTCTTGCGTTCTTTTTCCTCTTTTAATCCTTCATCATTTTTCCTTCCTCTTCCCCTTTTAAATTCTTCTCTTTTTATCGTGTCTACAATCTACAACAAGTTTGCCGACAAAGACCGTCTGACTACTCACCTAATGGGTTGATACCACACTATTCGACCACGTGAGAGCCTGTGTTGCCTACACTAAAATTTGAAGGCAAACTGACGTGACGTTAAAGTAACCTCTCCCCGTTTGGTAAAGAGCTCTTACTCGTGTGTGTCTCGAAAGAGCAAGCCATTTCACGATGACACCACGTTAAAACTCATGTTGCCTACACTAAAATTGAGGCCGAACTGACCTGCCGTTGATGTAATCTTTTCCCATTTGGTATAATATTTTTTATACGTGTTCCGAGTGAACGTGCAATTTCATATGGTCGTTTTTAGCAGTACCTAATTATTGTGCGCAGCCACTGAAAGTGCCATGGGCTTGCCAATTAGTTCATACTTTTTACAATGTGGAAGTTTCTTTCAGGAGTCATTGCTCAGATTTGTCTAATAGGTAGTGACTGATATCAAAGAGTTGAGCCGTTGGTTTGGCAAGCCGGGCCTGATCTGCAAAAGCAAAGAGAAAAATTACATAGGGATATGAGCATGCACCCTAGAAGTTTCCCACTTCAAGTCCGTCGAAAAGTGCCTTCAAGCCGAGGAAAGTCTTAAGCAAGGAGAAGAGCCGTTTATCGCAATTTTTCTCAGGAGCCCATTGTTTTTCTCTCTCTCTCTTTTTTTTTCTTGACCTATTTTTATTCATTTATTGCTACGATAATGAAATTTTATCTGGACGGATATCAGTTTATTGATTGTTCACATTCATTTTTATCAAACACAAGACTATAACCAGAAAAATTCGCCCATTCAATTTTCAATTAAGCGGGAACATCATTCATACGACTCGATTTGATTGTGGCGCGGCGTTGATGCGCGGCGATATGACTTACTTTCGTAGCCAGGCGTCAAAGTCTCCGAAAAGGAGCAGGGGCAATTCAGTTATTACTAGGTATCTATTCAGAAATTAGCGATTCCGCAAAGGTAAAGGGGGTGGCAGGGGAGAAAACAATTGACGAAATTCAAAGCAATGAGGTGGAAAAGGAAGTGGGGCCAGACTTAATGATTTAGACCAAATAAGAAACACTTCTTAATAAAGGAAAAAATCGAGATACCTACGAACAGGCCCGCCACAAGGGAGAGGGGGGGATACTGGGTCCCTGGTACCGGGGCCCGGGCCCCGGAGGGAGCCCGTGTTACCCGTGAAAAACCACTACGAATTCACATGCAATCCTTGTTTCGTAAGAAAAAGTGAAAAATGTACCCTAAAAATTTCGCAAAAGGTGAATAGATTTTCAGAAACACGCTGGGGCACTGTAGAATTCTTCTAAAATTTTCAAAGAAATATACTCCTTTGAAAATTTCTATCTATTTTTAATATTTTCAGTACAGAGGGATATTTTTAGTAACTGCGTTTCATTTTCTTCCGTCGTTAGATGCTAAGGGTCTCCAGTCTGGACATCCTCGACTTCAATGGCTCATGGCTCAACTCCCTTGCCATAGACAAACGAAGGGGGAGTCCAGGGGGGCCTGGCCCTAATAGAACTGAAAATAGTATCATATGCCCCCCCCCAAAAAAAAATGAAAATTTTCAAGATGTTTTGAATGCAACAATTCGCAGGTATTTTGTGCTGAAAGTATAAAAAAAAAAACATAATTATTCCGAAATTCATGGAAAAAATATTTAAAGAAGCTTCAAAATGCGTCCAATTAGTCGTATAAATTCTAAAATTTCTCGGGGGACGCCCCTCGGACACCCCCCCCCCTCTTAGTGCTTGGGGCGCGGACCTTAAAACAGGTACCAGGGCCCGAGATGCGATGTGGCGAGCCTGCATGAAGGCTATTTCCATTGAAATCTTCCGTCACATTCATACGGCGCAATGATACAACTATTTGAACTCTCCGGAATGCGTGAGGTATCACGCCGCATTTGAAGGCGTTTACAAATCAGCGTAGTTCCGATACCCGGATTATCGTTTTGCATAGTTCATATTCTTTTGTTATATTCCGTACCACTCGTTTATTTTTAATCCTCGTAGAAAAACCACCCATTTGTAAATACAATTCTAGCTGAAGCGCACTTAAACGCAATCATGACTGCAAAAATGTTAACGGAAATCGAAAAGGCCAGCGTGCAAGAAGGCTATTTCAAATGCAATCTTCCGTCGCATTTCTAAGGCGCAATGATACAACTATTTGAACTCTCCGGAATG